TTTGTCTATAAACTTCCAGGACCTGCTAAGTGACGCTTTCCTAATTGTTAGGGTTTCCTTTGAAGAAGGCATCTGGTGGTACACACCACTTACCTTCCCTGCACCTACCAGGATCACAGAGCAGTGAGGGAGTGGGGAGCATGAGAAATGGTGATGTAGCCACCAGCGCAGGTGTACTAGTTCTGCCACCACTAGGTCCTCCAGCCCAGCATGGTCTGTTGGCACTGGAGCTACAGTCTTTCCTGTTGACAGTAATTAGAACCTTTCAGACTCAATTTTGTACATGAAAAATCCCAGTTGAATTGACTTGTCTCCTTGATCCAGTTCATCGGGAGCTAATTAGCTCCTGCAGTTTGTTTGCAGGAGTGGTGAAGGTGGAGTACACACTCTGAAGCCTTCACACACTACGGTTGGTAAAAATCTAGGTGCTGAAAATGTTATTTGGGTAAGTTTTGGAGCCAAACCGCTGGGATTTGAATTCTAGTTCTACCTCTTAAGAAGCATGCATGATCTGACTTTTTGTGTCTGTGAAATGGGGGAAACAATAGTGAAGATTCAATGAGGTAACAGTGTAAAATCCTTAGAAGAATGGTGCCTCATTCATAGTAAGCAAGCAGTAAATGTTAGCTGTTAGTATTATCATTATTAAGCTCCTCCAGCCCTCAGCCCCCTTCTTTTTCTCCCGTCCTATGACCTTGCTCTGGGAAGCCAAGTTCCCTTCCTGTCCCCCAGGCTCTGGACCTTCTTCTCTTCACACACCAGGTTATTTGATCTCTCAAAGCCTCCATATTATTATCCAAAAAGTGGGCCAAGGAAAATGGAATCTACCTTACAAGGTTGTTGTGAAGGTTAAGTGAGATAATTCAAGTCAAGCTCTGAGCACAGAGCTTAATGACTATTCATTCCCATCAGTGTTATTCCTGAAACACAAAGGTTGTCTGGAAGAAGGTCTTGGGGAGCTCTCAGGCCAAAATGTCTGAAATAGGATCATTTATGGTCAACTAGTTCCTGAGTGTAAGCCTCAGGAGCTAGGGAGACTACTGGCTTGTCCATCACTGTAACTGCTGTGCCTGGATGAGAGGGGGCACACGGTAATATTGAATAAACTGATGGATGGATAGATAGATAGGTGGATACTATATGTTGTTGTTGTGGTTATGTGCCACTGAGTCGGACCCAACTCATAGCGAATACTATATAGGGGTTTCAAAAATGAGTTTGGCTTAGGCAAGAATTTTCAAGGCAGAACACTTCTAGATATTGAAGTATTCAAATCACCAAAAACACTTTTCTCCTATCCTCCTCTCCTCTCCTCTCTCCCAGGATTTAAAAACACAACCCAAGCAACCCCCATTGTTCAGTGTCACTGTGTTTTAGGCACTCTCTTTTTTTTTTTTTTTTTTTTATTAGGATTTGGGTGAAGATTTACAGAGTAAATTCACTTTTCATACAGCAGTTCACATATAGTTTGTCTCATGTCATTGACCAAAATTTACAATGCAGCAGCTCCCCTCCCACTTCCTCCCCACAGCTACCTCCTCCCAGTGTCCATCCCTTCATACTCTTCGAGAGGCCCATTGTCTGCCAACCCTGTATATGATCTTGGATACACTCTCCATTTAGACATACATAATTGTTTAGCTTGTTCACCCATCTATCCGTCCCTATACCCATGTTTGCTTTCATTAACAACTCAGTATTGTATTTACAAAGGGGTTCATATTTGTTGTTTGTACTGCCCATGTAACTCTCTCTGTCTTTCTCATCCTCAATGCTGCCATATTGGTCACTCACATTTGGTACATTGCCCTTCTCTTCACCCAAATCAATATTTATCTCTATCTATCTAACAGCATTCCCTCCCCTTCCCTCCCACCCCTGGTAACCAACAAAGAAAATGTCCTCCAAGATATAAACATTTCCTTAACTTTTACAATAACGGACTAATACAATATTTGTCCTTTTGTGACTGACTTATTTCGCTCAGCATAATGTCCTCCAAGTTCATCCACGTTATGCGGTGTTTTGCAGATTCTACATTATTCTTTAGCGTTGCATAGTATTCCATTGTGTGAATGTACCAAAGTTTGGTTATCCATTCCTCAGTTGTTGGACATCTAGGTTGTTTGCAAGTTTTGGCTATTGTAAATAGTGCTGCGATGAACATCGGCGTGCATATATCTGTTCTTGTTATGGCTCTCACTTCTTTAGGGTATATACCTAGTAATGGGATGGCTGGGTCAAATGGTATTTGTATTTCCAACTTTTGAAGGAATCGCCATACTGCTTTCCACAATGGTTGTACCATTTTACAGTCCCACCAGCAGTGTATGAGAGTCCCAATCTCTCCACAACCTCGCCAGCATTTTTAGGCACTCTCTTGACTAAGTTATAGACATCTTCTCTTTTAATCTTGACCTCAACCCTAAAGCAGGTGTTATTATTCCCATCTTACAGACAAGAAACTGAGCAATTTGCCCAAAGTTACATACCTGGTGAAATGCAGAGCCAAGATTTGGAGCCCAATATTTGGAGCAGGAAAAAGCTCCCATTGAAGCTGTCTCCAGCTCATCAACATTCTCATTTTGAAATAAATCTTTCCACTTGCCATTCTCGTAAATACTCACCATATGCCAGTCAAGGGATGTTTCCAAGCAGCGGGTGCTCTCCCTTGACATCATCTGGGCTTCCTATTATCTGCTCACTCTTCAGTGGAAATGGGAGCTCTGGTAGCATAGTGCCTAAGGCACTTGACTGCAGTTCAAACCCACCAGCCACTCCTCAGAAGGAAGATGGGGCAATCTGCTTCCGTAGTGATACTGCCTCGGAAATCCAAGGAGGGGTTGCTATGAGTTGGGTCTGACTTGACGGCACATAACAACAACAACTTTAGTGGAACTGCTGCCTTGCACAGTAAAGGTGTTAAAAGATGCTTATTTGCCTGTACTCTCATTAATCTCTTTATCTGACCACTTTCTTGCTTTATATTTTGAAGAGTCAAGCTCTGGAAGTAGTGGGTAAGGTGTATTCTGTTTTTAGTATTTTCAACAGCCTGTTGTTGCATTAGAGAAATACACGGTGACTTTTGTAAATCATTCTTCTATCCTTGGTAAGCAGGTATTTCAAGTATGTGAATTAGGGTAGTATCCAGAACCCAAAGAAGACCTAGGGTCTGGGCACCAGAAGGGATCAGTTTAATTCCCAGCAGTGTATTTCTTCAGTAAATGTGGGACTTAACAACTTTCCCTAGGGTGCTCACTTCCTTTCATCCTATTTATTTTCCTAAGGTTATTTTGTGGGTGATTTTGGGAATAAATGTGAATTTCTGTGAAACACTTTGACCCCCTAAGAATGATACCAGATATGTGCACCAAAGTTTAGTCCACAAAAGCACTGATGATTCAAAGATAGAATTTTATCTACTGCCAGCCAGAAATCACTCCTGTCTATAGATGGTGACTTCTGGAGTGAGAATAAAGTCGGGAGATGGTAAATTGAGTAGTTCTCTCCCTCCCCTTCACCCCAAATCTGTGAGACCATGAGTGGTTGTTACTCCCTCCCTTGAAGAACAGAACCTTCTGCCAAACTGGGTCCGAGGTCAGGCAAGTAAGGAGAGGGAAAGTGCACACCCCACTGTGGCCACCATGAAGGCCACAAAAACCGTCTTGATCTTTTGACCTATACCGACGCTCAGTCTGTCCCTTTCGTGTCCTTCACTTTGGCAATGTGGTTAGTCTGACTCTCTGCCCCCACCTTGAATTGGGCTTTGATGAAAAGGCAGTAGGAACTCAGGCCTGCCCCCAGGGATTTGGGGTTTTTGTCTTGGAAAAACATCAACCAAACTAGCAGGGGCAAGAGATCTGGATTCCTGTGGCTTGGGCTAACTTAGGTCCAAAGAAACCAAGTGCCTGTGATCAGCATCTCCATTCCCCAAATGTGGCCGTGCCCTCTGGATTCCCTTCTACTCACCCTTCTCCCAAGTAGGATGACTTTGGAGCTGCTTGCTCTTCCTTGACCATTAGCATGTCCTTCTATATTTGAAATACTTTGGTATCTAGAATATTTGCAAATTGCCACTTCTGGGATGATTTAAAATCCTCTGGCTTTAGTGCATGCAAAAACAAAACAACTGTTAAACATCAGTGTATTTCCTCCCCCTTGGGATTCTGTGAACCTCCCTGAGATTTGCCTCTCTGGGTTTTCTGCAGGGCAACAGAGCCTTGTGCTAGTTCTTTCCTCCCAAAGCACTGCTTGTATACATCAGGAGGCATTTGGTTGCCTTGATTGTGTGTCTTGGACTTTTGCTCTTGGTTTCCTGTCATAGGATGGCCAGATTTGTGTGCAGGCACCCCCAAGAAGCCAGGCTGCTACAGTACAGAATGACAGAATAAGAAGGTCCGTGGGTTGCTGCTCTGTACTCTTCTCCATACATTACACGACTGAGTTTGTCCTAGTACCAGTGTCACGGTGAAACCCATGTGAAACTGTTCACTGCTGATTAGTAAGGGAGCACAGATAAGCCCACGCTTACCTTGCTTACTGGGTACTCTATCCTTTTCAGGGATTGTAAATTAGAAAAGAGGCTTTGATTCTGTAGGAAGGTGCCATGGGGTCGGGAGAGAGAGAGATGCCAGCCATACCTAGAAGCAGAACCTTTGGTGTGGTGAAAAAACGTGAAATTGTTCACTACACACTAGGAAGTAAGTCTGTGTTTACCTTACTTATTGGGTACTCCAACACTGCTACCATTTCTCATGCCAATAAAGCACCTTAGGCCAAAATGGCTTGGGCTGGTGCCTCCCACCCAGGAAAAGCTTTATAGAAATATTCATCTTAACATCTCACCTTGGAGGTTAGTGGTCAGCACAACCTTAATAATGACTCACTGGTAAAAAGAACAGTTCTCTTGAGACTAGGTTTGAAGTCCAGGAAATGACCAAAAAGGGGGAGCTGACTTGCTATGCAGTGACCTAATGTGTTCTTGTCCGTTTCCACTTCAGATTTGCTGACCATGAGGGAATATCACTGTTTGTTGCAATTACTGTGCCCGGACTTCCCACTGGAGCTCACACAGAAGGCAGCCAGGTACGTCCTGGGCTCTCAAAGCCAGCTCAGCCCCCTGTGGACTGCAGCTTCTGAGTGAAACCTGAAATTTACACAGTCAACCCATTAGCGAAGAATAAAACCAGTAGAGAAGAAATTGGCATTTGGAGAGGGGTCTATTTGGAATTTGTCCAAAAAATATAATACTCACTTTCTGTGTTTCCAAAGGGAAGCCAAATGATCCTTTGTGGGTTTTATGAGGAGCCTAAGGGTCTGAAGATGCGGGGGGTGGGGTGAGATGAAGAGGCCAAAAATCCCACACACATAAATCTTAGAGGATATTCTGAGGAAATGGGACAGGGGGCAAGAGTTGGCAGTGAGTTGTGATGCAGGGGGTTGAGGCTGGGGGTGGGAACGACATGAAGGCGATAAAACTTTGACTGGGGAAAGAGTATATTGTATTCTTTCTGATAAAAGAAGGCTTTTATGATTAGTTCTGTACCAGGAGAACTTGGCAGAAAAAAGTTAGAAGTCCTGCATCTCTGTGTTTGGTTTCACTGTCACTCACATTTTTTAACCAAATGAGGTACCAGGACTATGTCTCTGTTCACTGTTACTACAGAACCTGGGCTGGGCTGCAAATGGAAATACAGCACAGGAATAGTGAAAATCTTGTTTTCTGAAAAATGCCCACCCTCCCTAGACCATCTTGAATGCATTTACCTTCACTGTCTGATTTAAGTTCATTTTCCTTAATTATCTCATTGAATCCTTAAAAATGTTACTTCCCACTTTACCAAAGAAGAAACTGGAGCTCAAAGAGCTGAGCTGTGTTGCTGAAACTTGTGGATAGCTGCTAAGAGGCAGAGGCAAAATTTGAACCCAGGTCTGCCTGAATCCAGAGGCTTTGCTCTCAGCCTCCTCACACTACTGCCTCCCTGTACCAGATGTCAGTCAGTTCAGCCTGTGGCATTTCTGTTTGGTGGTTTGACCCACTGACACCAACACTGATTGGCTGCACTGCACCAAGAACCACCTCATTCCTAAAACAAGCCAACCTCTCCCTTGGCTGCCAGAGAAGATGGCTACCAGCAACGCACTGGGACAGGCTTTGCAATTCATAGATCAGGAGCTAATTTTTCTGGTTATGTGCAGAACCTGTGTAGTGATCACACATCCAAAATTGGGTAGTTTTCTTTTTTTCTTCCCTCATTGTTCAGTGGATACTTATCTTTCCCAGTGGCAACTGGCCATTGGTAAAAGCTTCACTTTGGGTTTTATAATTTTAACTTATCCGCTATCCAAAGGGGATTTGGGCCTATTTGTTTGTGGGTTTTTTTTTTATTATTTTTCCTTAGCTGGAAAACAAAAATAGTGTGGGAGATTATATCTTGTAATTTAAAAGCAATCAAGTGGAGTTAGCTTCAGATTTCCTTGATAGTTCCCCTTTGTGCTCAACTCATTCTAAAGAAGATTCAGCCCTAATTTTTTTTGGGTGGGGAGGAAACTCAACATTCTTAAAGACTATGCTTAATAACAAAAGTCAGCTATAACTCTAACTAGAAAATCCCTAAATAAAGAAAAGGAACCGTGACAAGAGTATGTGTGCTCTGCGAGAGCAGATAGATCTGCACTGCTCTTGTTTACCACTGGATCACTGTCACTTGGTATGTTGTTAGGTGCCGTCGAGTTGGTTCCGAATCATAGCAACCCTGTGCACAGCAGAAGGAAACACTGCCCAGTCCTGTGCCAGCCTCACGATCCTTGCTATGCTTGAGCCCCTCGTTGCAGCCAGTGTAGTGTGTCAGTCTGTCTCATTGAGGGTCTTCCCCTTTTTCGCTGACCCTCCACTTTACCAAGCATGTCCTGATACGACTAAACTGCATGGCAAGCCATTGACTCAAGATTGGCAGATAACACAGCAGGCTGAATAACAACTCAGCTACATGCAGGATTAAATCATGCCAAAAGCTACAGACCATTCCTAAAGCTTCTCCTTATGTACTGGGAGCAGACCACATTCCCTAAGGCAGCCACTCAGCTGCTCACAGCAGATTCCATCATGGAGCTGATTGCCAATCTCATCATGGGGAATAACTACATTCAGCTGCCCAGCCACTCAAAACCAGGCCCAGCCAAGTTGATACACAACCTTAATGACCACAGAGGGTGAGCCTTGAGTGTAATTGTCAGCCCCAGCAGGTACAGCTTTCTATTTGCTCCACCCATCTCCCCCCACCAAAAAAAAAAACATTGCCACCAAGTCGATTCTGACTCGTAGCGACCCCCATTAGGTTTCCACGGTGGTAAGTCTTTGCAGAAGTAGATTGCCTGGTCTTCTTTCCAAGGAGTGCCTGGTGAGTTTGAACCTCCAGTCTTCTGCTTAGCAGTCAATTGCCTTAGGCACTATGCCATCAGAGCTTTTTCCCATTTCCCCAGTCTCTTCCAAACGACTTGATATATGTAAGCACTGTAAGATTTGATTAAATGATAGCACCCTCTAAGACTTTCAGATTCATACAATTATCGATTCTTACAACTCTTATTGCTATTTGATAGAGACCTGAGACCTTTGAGAAGGAGGGCGCACTGTAGCCAGTCTGTGTCAACAGCAGTGGGAGGGAATTATGGGAATGCAAGTATAAACAGCGGAAGGCCTAGTGTAGTCCTCAGAGTCCTAGCTGCCAAGCTAGAGATGAATTCAAAGTTAACAGAAAGTCTGTTTTCTCCCTATGTATGAACATCAGGCTTCTGTGTAAGCCCCACCTCTCCAATACCATTTCTTTCCCGACTCCAGCTGGTGTGTGTATGTATGTGTGTATGTAGAAATGTATATATCCCAGAAAGTGCCCTCTGTTTAAGCTAGTCTCATTCCGTCCTCTAGGTCAGGATCCCAGTTTCCCCACACACGTCCGCAGACTTCTTACCAGAGGCACAGATGGGAGAGGTGAAGCCTCCAGGGCGTTTGCTGTTGCTAGAAGAGGAACTGCCCTCTCCCATCTCATGGCCTGGGGACAGGCCACACAAAGAGGCTCCAATCTGTGATGATGTTTGCCTCCAAGAATGTAATCCACAGGCAGCTGTAAACCAGAGTCCTGTTCAGGGGCATGATGTCCACAGGCGCCTGACTTATGTGCTGTAAGCACCATGGCCAAGCCTTGGGGAGGCAGATGCAAGCTGGAAACAGGACTGGGAAAGGCAGACAGACGCCATGACAGCAGCCCCACCAGAGATGTCCCCTCCACCTCACACATTTGAGCAGCCGCACAAGTGGTTTGGTCATTTTATTCCCTAGATGATCACCAGAGAGTCCCTGTGTCTGCCCCCGTCCTCCATGGACTGGGAGGCTTTCCTCATGGTGAAGAGCATGCCGTTTAGAGCCAGTCTTCTGAGTTCAAATCCTGGTTCACAGTTTACCAGAATGTGACCTTGGGGATGTTATTTTGTTTCTTTGCACCTCAGTTTCCTCATTTGTAAAATGAGAATGACAACAGTTGTAGTTAGGACAGTAGAAGTATGTAATGTAATAATAGTACCTGGCACGGAGAAATCTTTTGAGTACATGTTAGACGTAGTAGTACCTTAACCTATAAGAGCACTGCTTTTGTTATGTTAGAAAGACCTGGCTGCACATTCCACCTATGCCTCATTAACTAATGACCTTGAACTTGTTTCTTTAATGTCTCTGAGCCTTGTTTCCATATCTGTAAATGGGGATATTAATAATAACTAACTCATAGGGTGGTTGTGAGAGTTTAGTAGCCACAAAAATGCATGTAAATTGCTTAACTCATTGGAGACATTCAATAAACAGCAGTTTCTTGCAGTTATAATAACGTTCGCATTATTATTACCAGATTCTTTTGAACTAAGTGAGAAGTTCCTAGGTTCCCTAAGGCAGTGCTTTCTGACATATTTTCACTTCACAACATTCAGAAAATAATATATAACCAAAAATAAATAAATTTTCTACACACACATATATAAAACACAGACTCTGGCTGCCTCCCTGCTAGGCCAAGGGGACCACCACACTTGTAACCCATTGGAGGCCAGGTGACATGGGGTTAGGAAGCTCTGCTCCAAGAATGAAGATTTAAAGCAGTGGTCCTCAGACTTAAGCATGCATCAGAGTCACCTGCAGGACTTGTTAAGCCATGGCTGACCAGGCCCCAGCCCCAGAATTTCTGATTCAGTAGGTCTTAGGTGGGGCTTGAGAGTTCCCGTTTCTCACAGTTTTCCAGATGATGCTGATAGTTTCGGGACCACACTTTGAGAACCACTGATTTAGAGTATTGGATGCCAGTCTCCTAACATTTTCAAAGTGGCTGAATTTAAAAGAGTTCATTCCCTTCTCTCTTTTTCATCTGAAATGCTATTTAACTCATTTCTCCCTCACTGAAAGCCAGAGCGCCTCGTGAGTAGTATGTGTTTAATAGGAAAAGCTCTTTTATCATGGTCATGTTCTAAATACACAGTGTTTCAAAAGCACGTACATTCCTAAGGAACCTACTTTGAGACATGGCCACCCACCCTCACTCAAGAGAATCACCTTCCAGCTGGTCCTTGTGTCGCGACAGCAGTATAGCCTGATGATAAAAGTCTCAGGTGCTAGAGGGAGATATCCCCAGGTTCAAATCTCTGTTCCTTCACTTAGCAGCATATGACTTTGAGCAAGTTACTTAACTTCCCTAAGCCTCAATTTTCTCATCTGTAAAGTGGAAATAATAATAGCACTTGCCTCAGAGAGTTGTTTTATTGGTTTAGTGATAATGCATGTGAAATACCTGTCACATACAACTTAAAGGATAGTACCTATTCTGAAAAATAACTCTGAGTGGTGTTTCATTTTTATGCATTCTTTAAATGATTACTGAGCACCTACTGGCAACCAGACCTCATGCTGTGCACTGAGCTTTATGCTTTCTTGGTGTCTTTATCTCCCTCCCTCATAATATTTTTCTGCATAGATACGTACCCCCCTCCCAGGTCTGACTTGCCATTTGAAAGCATTGCTGTTGATTCCTTAAAAAGGGGGAATT